GGATTCGGTGGCGGTTTTTGCGACTATTCTTCTAGGACGTATAGTAAAAGTGTAATATTTGTTTTAGCAATTTAATAACAGATCGAATTTTGCTAAACACGTATAGCGAATAGTTTATGTACTAATAGCCGAGCACTGAACCATTCAGCAACAGTTATGTTCTTCTCTGATGACTTATAATCGTTCAATTTTCTACTTTTATTAATATTAAACCAGCAAAATTGTTATGATGTTGCAATATGCCGTTAATAAATTATAGGTATTATTTGTTTATCTCTTATTTAAATCTATTCCAAATTTAATCGGACATCCTAGTTGTACCGTCAGATGGAGGACTTGGAGGTCTGGGTGGATTTGGTGGTATGAGTGGATTTGGTGGTATGGGTGGACTTGGCGGTCTGGGTGGACTTGGTGGTTTGGGTGGATTTGGTGGCGGCTTTCCGGGTGGATTTAGAATGGTTCAAATATGATGTAAACCATTTTTTTCTATCTTTCACTCTTTATTTCTCGTTGTCAATAACTGCATACTATATAAGCTTCATACATGTTTAGTACTATAATGGAATATTTTTCCATTTGTATTGTGATAGAATAAGGCTTTTTTATCAACTTCATACGTTCAATACTGTCGTAAAAAGTATTTATAGTGAATATTTTTATCTGCGATTCTGAATTGATATTCAAAAAGTACTATAGAATAACCATTTACACTTTTATTTAACTACCATTTTATACAGGAATATCGCTAATGATCTCTATGAACCATGGCTAGAAATCGAACATGCTGAGGTTTTTCAAGAGTAAACGCCGAGAGCAAACCTTTACAATCAAGGTAAAAAATCAAAACATTTTCGTTCATTATACAGCCTAGCTTCCAATATCTCTCGATCTCGTCAATAAAATAATCAGTTTACTAATGGGATTTTAAAAATCTTAAATATGGAAACATTTCGTCAGTTTAATTGCAACATCAGTAGTTGAATGAATGGAATACAGCAACAGCATTCTAATGTTTATTTTGAAAATTTCACCATAACAAATAATTGAATGATAAAAGTCAACTGACACATCCTTGACTAACTGTTTCTGTACACATTTCTCAGTTTTGTGGGACCCCTTTCTTCCTTTCTACGGGTCAACATCATTTGCGTCTAGACCCGTCGGAGGAATGGGAGGATATCAGGTACGAAAGTCTCTACGGTCTATCACCAAGTAGTTATAAATAAAATGTATTTCATATATTCTTAGCAATTACCCATGATGACCATTGGCTACGGTGGATTTGGA